TCACTATATTTAAAAATATTTCAGGGTATGTAGTTTAGTAGAAGTGGCCCACAAAACTTGCAGCATATAATGCAATTAATTAGCCATCACGTTAAGACATTTAATTTTACTCCTCCCCTATCTTTCACACTTCAGCTCACTATGGTAAGGAATAATAATCTTATTTGTGAAATATAGATTTACATAACTACATTCATTGTCTTGAATTCTAAACCCAAGTTATGGCATTTGGGGTTTATTCTTAGTTTTCCCTCCAATACCATAGAATTATAGCTCAGGGGCATCATGAGCAATAAATTTAAATAATTTCTTCTGATACATAGTTTCTCCAATAAATATTTATCCCTGTTGGATACTCCAACATTGCTTTTTAAGAGTGAAACTCAATGAAATTATATAACTGGTGACTGTGCTGAGTACCCTGTGGCTGTTCCATAAATATTAATAGAATCAAAATGCAAACATAGAGACCAAGAATGCCTAGAAGAAGTCCTTACTGAATAAGAATCACTTCTTTCAGTTCTACAACATAGAAAACATTAAAGCCTAAAGAAGTCTTCTTTTTATTCAATTCTATCAAAATATGTTAACTCAGGAAAGCCATCGAGGGATATTTTAATTTCTGAGACCATCTGTCTCTTTGAATGAGCTTCATTTAAATGAATGAATTTTCACTGATGCTATAAAAATTGGTCAGCAGCAACTGATTACTTGGTCAACCAGCTTCTTCCTCCTCTCAGTTTCTAGAACAATTTTAATGCTTAAATGACATTACTTGTTAGAGTCATTCTATCATAGGGTCTTCTGTCAGACCATGAAATCCCTGAAGGCAAGGATTATGTCTTAACTTATATTGGTAGTCCTAGGATATAAATGAAGAGTTAATTAGCTAAATAGATATTCTTAATAAAGACAGGCCACAAATATGTGAAAATTGTCATCAAGTTTGTCCTGGGCACAGTGGTTGGTTATAATCTCTTAATCTGATGAAAAGAAAACAAATGAGTATGTTTCCTATAGGTTTAGTGGGAAGGAGGACCGTACTTCAGATCCTCTAGGGTCCCAGGGCAGTAGGGAGAAGGCAGATTCGAGGAATTCAGCGTATTTTACTTTATAGGTAAACTGGTTGTCATATCTTCTCCAACATTCATTCTGTTCCACCATGTTCCTTTACCATAATAACAATCACCCATAATGAATGGTAGAAGGTTTCAGTTGAGTGACACTCCCATCCTGTCTTTTTATAACCTTCCAGAATGAAAAGACATCAGATCATTCATATTCTAGAGGTTTCTTACATTCCAGACTCCTTGCTCTACCACCGGTTCCTCAACAAACTAAGTCCAATATTATCCTTTCAGTATCCCATGTTTCGCAAAGTGATGGGTAAATTGGATTAAACAAGAGGAGTTTCTGATCATGAGTGCCATGAAACCCGATTAATATGAGAAAAATACAAGCTGGCTTGGAAGATATCCTAAAGCATTTAGTTGAAACACAAATCCAGGAAAGTAAGAACATAAACCATATTTACTCAGTAACTTTTTTTTTTTTTTTTTTTTTTTTTTTTTTTGCAGATACCTAGTCAGAACAGAAAAAAACAAAATAATGATAAGAATACTATAATGAGGCCAGGTGCAGTGGCTCACGCCTGTAAACTCAGCACTTTGGGAGGCTAAGGCGGGTGGATCACGAGGTCAAGAGATTGAGACCATCCTGGCCAACACGGTGAAACCCCATCTCTACTAAAAATACAAAAAAATTAGCTGGGTGTGGTGGGATGCACGTGTGGTCCCAGCTACTCGGGAGGCTGAGGCGGAAGAATCGCTTGAACTCAGGGGGCAGAGGTTGCAGTGAGCCGAGATTGCGCCACTGCACTCCAGCCTAGTGAAAGAGCAAGATTCCATCTCAAAAAAAAAAATATATACTATAATGAATAACCTTCGTGGAGGGCTTACTACGTCCCAGATACTATATATCTTACATATATTAATACGTGTAATTTTTACCTCATCCTCACTAGGTGGCTAATATTATTATTATCCCCATTTATGTTTGAGGTCACTGAGGCACAAAGGAATTAAATACCTTATTCAAAGTTTATCTAGGCAGCAAGTGGTAGAGTCTAGATAGAAGCTGAGTTAACCCTCACTCTTATGATAGAGACAGCTTTTCCTGGAGCTGTGTCAAAGCTGTGTGCCTTTCATCACATGTTCATCCTATTCTCTGGAAATATTATGACTTCGTATGGCTTCATAGTAATAAAACAAATAAAGGTTCGATTTTGTAAAATGCAGAAAAATTTTCTACAAACCTGGAACCAAAAAACATTCTTATCTCTCTCTGTCTCAGTCTCTCTCTTCCCAAAAAAGGCTGAGCGACCTAGTAGCTAAAAAATAGTGATGTCACTCACAAGAAATTGCTCCTTGCCCTGCTTGCTTCTCCAATTTTGGGCCTCGATCAGTTGGAAACTGGCATGAATGTGCATAATGATGACCTCCAGGTGATCATTGTGAAATGACTTTCCCCAGTAATGTTAGATTTATCTGATGATTTTAATACCCTTCATTTTGAAATGCTATTATCCTGAGTGCATGCAGGGGACAGTACACTTAGTCATAAGTGATCGATGAATTCATTATCTTCAGCCAATTTTAATGGGTCATCTAGAAAGGAAATCACCAGTCAGTTTTGGCTACTGAGCATACTACCTCAAGTACCTTATTAAACCAAATATAAAAATAGGTGGCTTTTCATTTTCCTGTCAGACAACAAAGGTCACCTATCACAAGCTTGAGAGGCATTAAGGTTTATTTCTCTTTAGCCTCAAAAAAAAAAGGATAGTGTGGAAGTTTTTATCTTTTTCCATTGTGAACTAAATATTTCAGACTGTGTGGCCCATGAAGAAGGAAAGTGCTTCACAGGAATTCAAAATGAGAAGATTTCTCTGCAGAGAAATAGTGGTTGGCATTAATGTATTCCCTGGGTGACATTATTAATCTAATGGCTCCATTGAATTGTAGGCCTTCAGCCCATCATTAAGAGCTGGAAGTAAACACAATGGTGTGGAATATAAGTAGGTATGTCTGCAGGTATTACTGACTCTTCTATTCTCAGGTACTAGAAACCAAAAATATCATACACACAAAATAATGCTATTCATATCTCAACATATCTCTTCTGTTCTTGGTTGGGAAATCTTGACTTTTAATCATTTAAATTATCATTTTACATTTGACCCATCAACTTGAACTTTTCTCTATGGCCTGATCATAAGCACCTGTAGCTGTTGAGTACAGTAATGGCAAAACAGGTGTAAGCTTCAGGCTCTATGTTTGCTACTAGCTAAGACAACCCTGCTGTTAGTTCCTGGTCACATAAAAGTGACTTGGCATCATTTTAAAGCATTTAAATATTGAATAATTATTTTGCATTATCTTGAAAATGCACAGATTAGCAAATTTTGTTAGCAAATTGTTAAACTGTACAAGGAAGATTTTTAGGACGATTAAGAATCAAGGGGAAGCGCATGTTATAAATTTTCTGATGCCAATATGTTATAGCTAAATAACCTCAAAAACACATTGAGGCTGTACTGGGATTCTTGGGTGGAATTCAAATGGAAAGAACTGCCCAAAGGCTCAGAAAATAGTGGTGGATCTATCTATTGCTATTTAATGTAGCTCATCGTTTTAACATCCTTAACTAAGAAATGATTAGTTTGTTTATTTTGTATGGTGAGTATTAGTTGTGTTTAGTACCAAAAACGTTATTTAAAAAAAGAAAACATCTTAGGTGAAACCTCAGTTAATCACATCTATAAAGGCAGAGCTGCTCATTACAAGGGGGAAGTTTGGGGAAGTTTAGAGTCAGGTCAATCTGGACTCTATCACCTACTGCCTGGATAAACCTTGAACAAAGTATTTAATTACTTTGTGCCTCAGTTTCTGCAAACATAAATGGGGATAATAAAAATATTAGCCACCTAGCGAGAATGAGGTGAAAATTACATGTATTGATATATTTATTATATTAATATACATTATTAAAATATAAATTAATATAAATATTATTAAGATATTTATCATTGTACCACAGACCTCATAATCCCTCCACAAAGATTATTCATATTATTCTTATTATCATTATTTTATTTCTTTCTGTTCTGAGTAGGTATCTGCAAAAAAAAAAAAAAGTATTGCATAAATGTGGTTTATGTTGTTACTTTCTTGGATTTGTATTTCAACTAAATGCTTTAGGATATCCTCCAAGTATCTCAGCCACTCTCATCTCCATGCTGCCCTCTGAGAGGCTCTCAGGGAATTCTATGGGACACTAGGACTCCATAAAGTCCACCTGAAATCAGTGACCTGGTGTAACAATCCAGACATAACTGAAGGAATTGTCCTTCCTCAATGATTCTGCTAAGGAAACTCTTTTTAAGAATATTTGCCTGAAAGTGAATGTGTACTTCACTAACATACTTTCTGTATGGACAATATTCTATCTGTTTTAGAAATAAAGTCTGAGGTATATTTCAATACTTCTAGATAATTAGATGTAACTAGATGTAACTACATCTGACCTGGAGCTTCTTTGAGGCTTACAGCTTCTAGCTTTTAAAAACTTGCTTTTTAAGACAATTTTAGAAAGTCAGCAGATTTATTTTAAAATGAAGTCGTTACTGCGTAATCAGAACTTGAAAGTTATAATTATTATTTCAGAAAGTATATTTCTTACTGCTCTTTAGTTCTACAACTACACTTATTAAAGGTCCCATGTTAAGAAATAATTTTCTTTAAAAATTAACTGGAGTAAACACAAATTTTATTAGATTTGAATTTGGTTATAACCTGAACAATAACTATATAAGTATTAGCCTATTCCTTTCATTAAGGGTAATTATTAAAGATTTCTCAAGACTCGGTGTGACATTTCCTGGGTACAATGCTCAAGCACTTCCCTGTGGTTACCTTAAGTATAATCAGGCAAATTCTTACCAGGTAAAGGGTGCTGATGGTTACATTCTTCTGTCAGGTAAAGTTAATAAAGGTAATGTAGACAAAGACTGGTTCATTTTCTGCTCATTTGAAAAACATACTGAGGGAATGTGTTCTCTTTCCGGGTCCATGAGGGGGCGTAGCTTCAAGGGCAAGAATTTCCCGGCGCCATGCCCTCTCCCATCTCTCTCCATCCGGGAGATTCAAAGGTTTATGTTTGAATTTCGCGGGCTCGGGAAGAAACTAAAAGTCAATCACTCCAGCGGAAGTTCTAAGAAACTCCTTTCATTGGCCCAGGGTCTTGGAGAAGGCGGGGGTTTCTCCCAGGATAAAAGTTCGTGCTCCCTCACGTGCCCGGGATTTCCAACTTTCTGGATTCCCTTCCTACACGGTGGGAGCACCCTCTGGGATTTCCCCTCTGGAATCCCCATTCACACTCTTCACGGAAGCCACTGTTTTGGGTCTGACATTTTATTTGGCGAACATACGGTGCAGCTGAAGCGGCCCCACCGATTTTTTTTTTTTTTTTTTTTTGAGACGGAGTCTTGCTCTGCCGCCAGTCTGGAGTGCAGTGGCGCAATCTCACCTCCCGTGTTCAAGCGATTCTTCCCCCTCAGCCTCCCGAGTAGCTGGGACCACAGGCGCGTGCCACCACGCCCCCACCACTTATTCTTTAAGAGGCTGGAGGCCAAGAACCCACAACATCCAAGAAGAAACCCGGTTCCAATACTACTTATCAAAAATCCCAAGCCTAGGTAAAGAATGAAATTGATGGTACTAAAAAGCTTTGAAAATTGTGAAAAGCTATAAAAATTATGAATTAAAACAAGAATCTCCATCTCTTTCTCTCGTTTTCGCCATGAATTGAAACTACCGTCCAAAATCAATGCTTTCCTTAGGAATGCTCCCCCATATGAAAGCTCAAGGAAAGGCACATTTCCTTTTTCAAACTTATAGTTCTCTAGAAGTACTGAAATATACTTCAGACTTTATTTCTAAAACGGATAGAATATTGTCCATAATAAAAAAACAAAAGCCTTGCCATAACTTACTAAAATAAATTTTAACAGAAGTTACCAAGGATTTTAAACAGATGTAAGTTAGTTCTACCATACCCTATGTTTATGAATATGGCCAAAAAAATGTTAGAGAAGGTTTTAAGCCGTAGCAGATAACACAAGTCCATCTGCTTATGTCATCTGCTACTCTTATGTGACATGGTAAAGATTATAAAAGGAAAATCAAATTCACATAGCATTTATCTAAGAGGATTCTATAATTGAATTCTGAAGGAATACTTTTTTGTTTCTTTTCTCTCTTTTTCTCTTTTAACCCTAGTTACTAATCAAAACAGTAATCTGATATTTTGAATGTGTCCTCCTTTGTTTAAAACAAGGTTCTTGTTATTGACTAACCCAGTTTGACATGTTTAAATTAGCTTTTTATTTTTATTTTATTAATTTCTTAGCCTAATCTCACTAGGCAGAAACACACAAGAATACACCTCTTTGCATTAGTCTTCGTTTTTAATGATTTTTAAGCTGTGCGTTAATATTCAGTAGTGTACACATGATTAGCAATATAAAGCCAGAGTTCCCACTGCTCTAATTTAGATCCTTATCACCTTGATTTTCATCCATTGCAATATCCTCCTATTAGCCCAGTCTACCCCTGCAAACTCTAATCTCTCCTTTCCACCCAAAACTTCCTTGTTAGGTGTGTGTTATGACCACTAAGAGGAGCACAACATTCTCCTCTCTGTCCCCAGACCAAATCCACCCTCAAGGAGGTCTGAGTTCACATCAGACTCATTGGGCAACAATACCAGGAGATGGAGTATTAAAGCACATCAGGCTGGAGGAGCTTGGAGCCAGCACAGAATGCAATAATGCACTGCGAGACTGGACCACCTACCTGATAGGAAGGCCGGGCCTTCCATCATTCATTCAACAAATCCCACTGCATGAATGCCAGTGCTGTGTCAGGCACAAATATCAGAGGGTGAACAAGACACTCATGGTCCCTTCCCTCATGGAGTGTTCGCTGATCAAGGAAAACAGATATTGAACAAATAATTACAATTATGATGGGGATTTAAAAAGGAAAATAAAAATGTGATAAGGGCCGTAATACAGTCTGCAAGAAAAAAAGGCCACTTTGAAGACTCTGCAGGAAAGGGAATTAGCCATATGATAGGAGAGGAAGGGGTGCTGAGGAACAGAAGAAGGGATGATGTAGGCAGAGGAAGCTGCTAGAAATCTCAGAAGAGAGAGAAAGAGTAAAGAGCAAAAAAGAGAAAGGGTTGATGGAGGCCAGGAATTGAAAATAAATTCAACCTATCAAGAACAATGAGTGAGGAAGGGCTAGTAAGAGGGAAAAGTGTCTGATACACAGTAGAAAATAACTAATAGGGCAAGATCCTGAAAGGGCAGAAAGGACAGTGTCCACAGCAAAAATAAGAATGCAGCTACATCCAAGAAAGAACCACCTCTGCCAACGCGGCAGGAGGGAAGGAAGAAAGGAAGATTCGTAGGTTTGGTAATGGAAGGTGTAGAAGCACTTTTCTTGGGACTTGTTTTAAATGGAATGGGCGTGAGGTCATGTGGTGAGAGTGAGGGGGTGAAGATTTAATGTAATTGTTGTGATGCATGCCAGCATGAGCCAATTGGGAAATATATTAAGAATGCCAGGCAGCAATGAGAGCCCAGGGAGGTGATGACTGTAAATTTATAATGGTACCAATCTCGGTTATGTAATTTTCTCCAGCAAGTCTTATCAGGCAGAACAGTGGCACAGAGTGGGTAGAAGTTAGATTCATCCAGGGATGACGACTTGGCAGAATGGTGTGATGAAAAGAACAGAGGCCAGAACAATTGGCAGGAAAGTTGTTGAAATGATCACCAAGACAATTTACAACCAAACCAAGGAGAGAAAACTGGAAGGGGTGATGAATCAACTGACTAAGCACCTACCCTAATTGAACAAGCAGACAATTCTTGTTCCTTTGAAGCTCACATTCTACCAAGCAGCCATAAAACTAACATTGATAAAATGGCTAAGAGTGTGAGGAATACCATGGAGAAAAATTAAACTATGGTGAAGGGATACAGAAGGACAGGGTGCCTACTTTCTATTGAGGGGTCAAGGTCTCCGGGAGACAACATTTAAGTTGAAATCTAAATGACAAAAAACATTGCAAGTTGAAACATGAAAGGAAAGGCAATTTGGAAAGATGACAGAGTAAAAATGCAGATGTGCTAAGACGGGAATAAGCCCAGAAAGGAAAGAAAGCCCACAACATGAGGGGGAGAAAACACAGAAAAGAGTGATTAAGAATGACATCCGGCCAGGTGTTGTGGCTCACGCCTATAATCCCAGCACTTTAGGAGGCCAAGGCAGGAGGATCACTTGAGGTCAGGAGATCGAGACCAGCCTAGCTGACATGGTGAAACCCCATCTCTACTAAAAATTAAAAAATGAGCCGAGCGAGGTTGCAGGCGCCTGTAATCCCAGCTGCTCGGGAGGCTGAGGCAGAAGAATCATTTGAACTCAGGAGGTGGAAGTTGCAGTGAGCCAAGATCGTGCCATTGCACTCCAGCCTGGGTGACAGAGCAAGACTCTGTCTCAAAAATAAATAAATAAATAAAATAAGAATGACATCCACATGATACAGGCCATATTGTGTACATCCTAATAGAATACATGGAATTTGCTCCTTTATTTTTTTAAGGTCAGAAGATTACAGTAGAAGAGTAATCTGCTTCATGCTTTAAAAGTCAGCTCTGGCTGCTGTGTGTCGACTGTGAACAGCAGGCCTCAAGGATACCAGGTTGCTGGTAGTCATTCCAGTGATCCAGGGAAGAGATGAAGGCAGAATTGTCTAAAGAGTGACAATGACAAGGTGAGAGTTGGAATGTTTTCATGACTTGGGGGTGGGGAATCAGAAAAAGAGAAGAAGATAAGCTTTGGACAAAGGCAATTGAGGGTCAAGCGAAGTCATTTTCTGAGGCAAGAAGACAAAGATGGAGCAGATTTAGGGGCAAAAATAATAAATTCTGTTTTGGAAAGACTAAGTTTGAGTTCTTTCTTAGGTCTCTAAAAGGATATCTGTCATGCAGTAGGATAAACAAGTTGAAATTCTTGTCAGGACTGCAGCTAGAAATGTGGAAATAATTTAGGCAATGGAAATGTTAGAGGAGGTTGTCAGGAGTCCCCAGAGCTCGATTATTTGAGCATGGAGAGGGTCAATAACCTGAGGGGCCATGTTCTGGATGTTCCATTCACTTACACATGCTATAGAGGTGGTGTGCTCAGGGGGAGAACCAGGCTTTTGGTAAGGCCAAGAAACTACAGAGGGTTAGGAAGGACAAAATTCTTGAAGAGTTCATGAGCAAGTTAGGAAGGGGAAAAAAGAGAGTTTTCTGGGAAGCAGATTGTAGAAATACGGAGAAACTTACATTTTAACCAGAGAGGGAAGGGACCTGGAATACATGGAGTGGTGGTTGGAGTTTTAACACTTCCTAAATTCTTGGAGAATTTAGCTGTGGCTTGGATTGCTGTGATAAGTGTATCATTTTCCTAATGCTCCATGGCAGTATCGGCAAATTATTTGCTGGCCAAATCCTATCCACGGAAGGTTTTTATAAATAAAGTTTTATTGGAACACAACCACACTCCTTCATTTACATAATGTCTATGGCTGCTTTCATGCTACAATGGCCAAGTTGAATACTTGTGACAAAGACTGTATGGCCAAGTTGAATACTTGTGACAAAGACTGTATAGCCCACAAAGCTGGAAATGTTTTTTATCTGGTACTTAATAGAAAAAGTTTGCTGATTTCCAATTTATATAAGGTAGCTCCCATGACTAGAGAAATCAAGTATGAGCCTCCTGGTTTGAGACACAGAGTAGGTGGTTCCTCTGGTCTTTAAATAATAGTTTTTGAACCTTTAGAGGATGATTATGCAAGCTCTCACATAACATAGACTGAACCTCATATAACATGATAACATATTGAATAGTTGTGAGAGTATATGTTTTCAAATAAGGCCTGATGTTCCTCAGAGCCTGTAGAGGAAGAAAGCACTCAGGTTATTCTTTGAAGCATGACTTTCTAACCATTGTTCTCAACAATCATTGCCTACAAGCTCGGTCACCATGACTGTCAATTCATTCCTCTGGAAGTAT